TTTGGTTTCTGTTGATATCTGGATTTGAGATATGGAGATTGGTTTGGAAATGTGTACTATATTTTTAAGAAAAGTACTAAATAGTACTAAGCTTAGTATTGGGTAAAGGAATAGAGCAGAAATCCGTCCGTGGATAAAATATGGCGGTAGTTTTGGAAATATGTACAGATGAAGCTGATATTTCCAAGTTTTAGTGTTGGGATCCCTGTTGGTCGTAGGTTCGATATTTAAAGTTGGTTTTGGAAATGTGTACTAGAAGTGAACGAAAAGTACTATATTTGGTACACTTGGGTATTGGGTGAATAGATGTTTCTTGAAATCTGAAATTTGGTATTTGTTAATTTGAAGCCGGTATTGTTCGAAACGTACTAAGTGGTACTAGATTGGGTATTGGGTGAAGGAATAGAGCTTAATTCCCGAAATTTCATATTGAGGTATCTGCTGGTATCTGGGTCTGAGATTTGGAGAAGGCTTTGGAAGTGCGTACTATAGTTGTTCGAAAAATAGTAAGTGGTACTAAATTTGGTGAAGGGATAGAGCTGAAAACGTGGAATTTTATATTGTCATATCTGTAGGTGTCTAGGATTGAGATATGAAACAATTTTGCAAATGAGTACTAAAATTACACGAAAAGTACTAAATTTGAGTTGAAATCCTTAAATTTGTTATTTATGTCTCTGTTGTTATTTGGTGACGAGATCTTGTGGTGGTTTGGAAATGCGCACCAAAATTGTTCGAAAAGTTCTAAATGGTTCTAATTTTGGATCACTGTTGGTGTCTAGGATGGAGAGATGAGGATTGTTTTAGATATGCGTACTAAATGTTACTAAATTTAGTATTGAGTGCAGGAATAGAGCTGAGATTCTGAAATTTTTGTATTGAGGTCACTGTTGGTTTCTAGGGTTAACATATGGAGACGTTGAAATTGTTGCGGACAGAAAAATTGGACGTGGTTCCATTGTGCAATGGTTTTACTAATATCCTCCTGGGTAAACTTCAAGTTGAACATTTTCGAAGACTTTTTGGTGTAAATGGTAAACATTTTCCTATTATTCTTTCCGAAAAAAGAGAAAAACATTTGAAAATTATATTATATAAACATATTACGATGTCTGAAATTTTGATTAAAATGTTTTCCAAACTGAAAAAATTGGGCATTTAGTGTACTAAAAAGGCCTAACACGAACTATTGGAACGATTCAAAATTGTAAAGTGGACTGACAAAGGAGTGGACACTTGCAAGTATCTGTATAGTTTAGGTCCTACTTAGGCAACCGACAATGGATTGTATAATCCAAAAAAAAAAAATTGAGCAAGTGTGGCATAGTGATGGTGCATTCTTTATATAAAATTAGAGGAATATGTACAGGAACTATATATAAATCGGAAGCAATTTTTTAATTAAGACAAAAATTCATACACTAGATCTATAAATATTGCAAACAATTAAATTTCAGTTCAAACTATCTATCTTCTTGTAAGGACAACGTTACACGCATGCATCTATAGCTCTTAGATGTCCATGGAAACGGTGTAAATTCAAAATGTTCATTATACATGTACTCAGGAGAGAATTGACATTTAAAATGTATACTTAAAAAAGAATTGACAAATGGGTACCACTTTAAGCCAGTAAATGGCTGATGTGTCTGACTGCTGTTCTTTTACAGCAAAAAAGACACACAACACAATGCACACTCTCCCAATAATATGGCCTTTTAAGGACATTTTATACATTGGGCAAAAACGGTTGTAAATATTGTTCCAACAGCAACAGCAGGCTGTGTGCTGTAGACGGTGACAACAAAACAGAAAAAAATCGTGAAAATATTAAAATTCCACAAAACAAAAAAAAAAAAAAAAAAAACAAAAAAAAATGCGTGGCTGGCGCAAAAACCAATCAAAATGCATGTTCTGCCAAAGACAGGCACACGTACTTAAGCCACGAAAATATGCATATTTTCTTAAGAACAGACAATATGTTATGGAGAATATATCTGAGAGAATTATTTCGTTAAGAACGTATATCTCTGAGGTATATGTATAATGTGTGTAGACACATACAATCCTGTCAGCTGCAAAAACAAGAATATGTTTTGTAAATAATTTGCTGCTTTTTTTTTGTCTGCTGGATAATAACTAAGTCTGATGATTTGTACGTGAGAATATTAAGGAGATATACATATTCGTGTTTACATATACACATATATAAGCAATTTTAGAAAAGTCAATTTCAAATGTGATTATTTAGATTTTATTTATTTTTTTAATAATGGCATTGCCTTCTCGAAAAGTCAATGTAACTCATGCAAATATTGCAGAGAGAAAAATTGAGCTGACAATGAATGAATATCAAATTTAGAGTTCATATGAATTCAACGATTTGGAAAAAATGAGAAATCAAAGATTTTTTTATTTCAAAGAAAACTATTAGCCTATTTTTGTAATTTTTGAATAATTGAAAAAGGCCTTATTTAAAGAAATCTAAAATGCTAAAGCAATGAGTCCCAGAAGAGTTATTGTTATCCATGAAATGTAATTCCTATTAAACTTCAACAAGGGTATTAAGTTCGGCGGGGATGCATTTTTCGCAATAATTCAAATTATAAATTTAAATTAGTATTGGAAAACGGTCAAGGTCCTCACAACACCAATATTCGAGATCCATAGTTGAAAGGGGTATATTGAAAACCAGGATCTGCATTTAGTATTTTTCGCTCTTATTGTCTTTTTCAACTTAATTTTCTAAATAAAAACCCACATAAAATAAGATTAGATCGAAATGAAAAGTCAATTGTTGGTCAATTTTTTAGCCGCCAAGAACTTAAAAATGTTCAATTGTAACCAATTGGGATGGAAATTGTGGCAGAAACTACAAAAGTATGGACTATCAGGTACCAGCGCTTTATTGCGGTCTTACCCAATAATAAATTCATACAAAATCCTGCTCTTTTGGAAGACAAAATTATGACTAAAATCTTAAATAAATCAAAAAATTTGATATGTTTTAATCGAAAATTATGCCGGTGCTAAGAAATTTTTTGGAGTCCTTAAATATACTCTCAATATTATTTTTAAAAACACCCACAGATCTTAAATTTTCAAGATTAAGTCACTCCTAGAACACTCCTAAAAATTCTCGAAATCAAAAAGATTCAAATTCAGCTTTAGGCAGGTATCTATCTCCAAATATTTACACAGTGAGCTGCAAACCTAATACAACCTGGACATCTTCTCTGGAGAATCGCTAGGGTGAACTACCCGTCTCCGAGCGATTGAACCACGAGTGCCCAGTCCATCTCAGAAGACCTGGACATCAACATCCCAACCACCTACATGGTAAACTCTGATTGCACTGTGCTACACAGATAATAATTACGGGAAAAAGCCAGCAGATTATAAAAGTAGAGATAAAAAATTAGACACGTGTGTGGGTGTTTTGAAAGTTTACATAGCAAAGTTACTTAAATGGAGGGGGGCAAAAAAATTCACACTTTTGGAAATTTTCGAATTAAGATTCTTCGCCATTAATGTGCATAAATAAACGAGAATTATTCTTGTTAAAAATAATAAAATTTATATAAAAAAATTAAAACGGGATCGTAGCAAAGTCAAAATATTCGACAAAATTATTTGTCACATAATTCTATTATATATCCTACAAGATGTCAAGAGTTATACTTAAAACACATTATAGGGTTGAAGCCGTGCTTGGTGTGAGTTTGTACACAAATCTCCAATAAAGCATCATTTTAAAAGGATCAGGTCAAAGTATTCTTCATCAAATGTTACTATAAGTTATCAAAGAAGAGAAATCTCTATTCCGATCTTGATCAAATTTGGCAGAGGTATTTCTGGGCTGTATCTGATATCTCATACCAAACATCATTCTTGTGCATGTTACGAATGTGAGATATATGAAAGCTACATCTGAAACGATTTTCTCCATATTTGATGTACCTGTTTCTAGACTGAATTCGGTCGGATGTGCCAAATTCAGGTCATTTGGACTGTTATTGGCCGTTTGGTGTACAATTAATCCGAAATCGGTAAAAGATATATATGGGAGCTATATCCAAATCTGAACCGATCTTGATAAAATTTGGGAGATCTATTTCTGGGCTGTGTCTGATATCTGGTTCCAAACACTATTGTTCTCGAGTGCATATTACGAATATGAGAACTTAAACACTAAATCGGATGAAACATAAATATGGGAGCTATAGCTATATCTGAACCCATTTTCACCAAATTTGATTTACTTGCTACTAAATACGGAATATATATTGGGGTCTATACGACGTGGACCTACATAGGCATTGTTTGTCATAAGCCATTACCATATTCAAATTCAAAACTTGAAACAAACGGCGAATACTGTAGCTAAAATCAAGAAAATATCGTATAGAGGGAGGTACCGTTATATCGTAGCTGTGCGACGACCTGGACCAGCAAAGACAATTTTCTGTCACAGGCTATAGCATCCATTACGAACTTCAAATACGACATCTCAAACAATAGAAAGGTAATGATATATGGGGCCTGTACGAAGACCTGGACCTGCATAGGCAATTATCTGTCACGGAATTTATTCCCATTACGAACTCTAAATACGTAATTTGAAATAATTCCAGTGAATAATGACACTAAAATCATCAAAATACCGAACATCAGGAGGTACCGTTATATGGGGGCTATGCGAAGACGTGGATCTGCACAGACAATTTTGTGTCTTAGTTTTATAACTTAAACATGAGTATTTCGAGGAGTTACAAACGGAATGACAAAGTTAATATACCCTCCAAGTATGGTGGAGGGTATAAAAATTATTCGAAAATAGTCTCCTTCGTGACTTTGTTTTTAGTCCTCAAAAATTTTTTGAAAAACAATGTTTTTTCAAACATCCATGATATGACTGAATCCATGCTTATATTATTCTTGGGGTCTTAAAAAAGTCAATATTTTTATTTGGAATTTTTATTTAGTTACTTTTAACTTACCTCTTCCGGCAGCCATCTTTTGACACGTTCTTTTGTTTGAAAACCATCACCAACGCCACCATTGATGTCTCCCCTCAACTCCTCTCGCACACTTTTGTTGCTGTGTGACTTTCTTCGCTTCAGGTCATCCATTAGCATGCTGCGTTTGAGCCTCTCGCTGGCACAGTGTTCGGCCTTAGAGGATTTCGATGGTTGATCTACATCGCTTAACTTATAGATAATCGTGTGTACTCCCGCATCCTGGAGATCCGGTGAGTAGCGGTGTGATGGTTCAATGTAATATTGTTCAGTGGGTGTTTCAATGGTGCCATCGATTAGATTATCATTGGTGAGTATGGCATGTATGTGGGAGTTTTCATCATCTGTAAAGGGAAAAAGAGAAGAAATAAGTTTTATTTCATATTTTTTTTTTCTGAGAGAGAGAGGGTGGGGAGAGAGAGAGAGGGGGGAGAGAGAATGAGAGAAGAATTGTTGTTCATAGATTAATTGTACAAATTAAACTTTCTTGTTCCCTATTTTGCACTTTTCAAACAAAAGATATTTCATAATTGAATTTGTAAACATTCCTAAAACTTATGACAGCTGTCAACAACAGATTAGTTACTTGGAATTACGAACAGGACATACCAAAGTACAAAATCACTTTTAACTACAAAACAAAAAAAAAAAAACAAGAAAAAAAGGACGCCAAGTGAAACTCCCTTAACCTGATCCAACCCTAAAGCCATCCATGGCTTAGCGCGCTCAAAACTACTAAAACTACCTTCTCTTCATAAATAAGGAAATTCCTGGCAAGCTTAAAAAATATTGACAAAAATGTTCATGTTTATCTTGGCAAGAAGCAGAAGCAGAAAAAAATGCAAGCAAAGAAACTTCCTTCAACTTGAAACTAAAACCAAATAAGAAAGTTAGAGGAACTGCAGCAAAAACCACCCATTCGAGCTGTGGGGGTGGTGGAGATGGTGGTCTTCTTGGTCTCTGTGTAAAGTGTGCGGTTAAACAAAAATAAATTGTCAATGACATAAAAACTAAAACCCCCAACCCCAATTGCAGGCGAACAGCAACATACCAGCCATAAAATTCCATAAAATAATTCTTGGGAAAATCTTTTTAAAAGTAAAACAAGAAGAGACAAAAAACCGAAGCAAAAAAACCAACACACGGAAGAAAATAACCACACCGTCGTTATTACTTCAAAGGATTTCCAAAGGCAAAAGAATTGGAGAAAAATGACAAGGGACGGGGTGGGGCAGCAAACTATCAGACTGCGCTCAACAAAGCCAACATACCACAGCTCCATTGAAGCATAAGGCGAAGGAGTGGGGAATATTAAAACCAAAGTTTATGCATTAAATCAATTTGCCAACCAACAACAATAAACAGCAGGAAAAAAGGAGAAGAAGGACCAGACCACTAGAGCGTTGAAAAAAAAAACACTATATCATTGTTTTTTTCTTGTGATTTTATTTTCTTTTGTTTTTTTGCATCGTGTCTTGTAATCGTGTTGGTATACGAAAGGAAAACAATTGTGTTTTGGGATTTTTTTTCTGATGTCGTAGTTTTCTCTCATCTTTAGGTTAAAGGGTAGTGGGTCTCGATGGGCTACAGTGAGTGCAGCGTGATTGGAAAAAGAAATTTTGACAATATTACTATTATTATGAGGGTCATTTAAAAAAAACAATTCAATATCTGATTGAAAAAGGTAATTTCGCGAAAATATTTATCCTACGGGTAACTTTGGCTAAATTTTGAATTTTAAGGAAATATATGCAAAATTATTTCAAGTGGCCCTGTAAGATGAAAAAAGAGTCCAATCTCCCTCTTCGATTGTCAACTCTATTCTCTATTCGGCTCGACTCAAGCAATATTTAGTGAGAAAGGAATACAACCGCTTCGCTTGGGTGTAGATTCAATTCTAGAACCTTCTCGAAGCATCAATGTTTTCAATGATGAGAATAGAGTCCAATCTCCCCTAACCTCCTTGGCAAGTAAACACGATCATTTTGTTTTTTTGACAAATTGCTGGACAACGAATGTTTTCTCATCGGACAAAACCAAATTCGGCAGTTCACCACTTTCGTCGAAGCGAAACCACTCTTTTGCTATTTTGAGCTTATTTTCTTTCTGTTATGGTGTAAGTTCTTGCACTTTTTGGAATTTCAATGGCTTTACCCCGAGCTCATTATACCCTAAGCCAAATGGTTACAGAGGGTATATATCATTTGATACGGCCAAAATGTGTCTCATCGAAATAACGGTTTTAGACCCTAGGTCTCTTTGGACCAAATCCGTTTTAGGACATTTGGAGTCGATCTCCGTCCATCCGTCTGTCTGTCTGGCTGGCTGGTGCGCACGATAACTCTCGAAGGGAGTATTCGATTTGATCCGAACGTGGTACATAATAATATTTTTGTCAAACTTAGATCGAGTTCGGAGATGTCCAATATCGGTACTCTCCTTCTGGTACCTCCCACAAAAAATGTCATCATTTTTAAAGAAAATAATTTATTGCACAGAAAGAGAAAGGATAATCCGATTTTGATTGAACTTTGCGAATCCTAATATCGGTCCACTCCAATAGGGACCTCCTCCACAAAGGGTCAAAATTTTGAATAATTACATCTCTTATAAATTGTGATGTAAGAGTCCGATAGTCTTTAAATTTCACACCTTCCAATAATTTTATTAGCACGAGGTCTGGTGTGAAAATGGAATGTACCGCTCCATTCCTTCTGGTACCTCCCCCACAAAAGGTCGAAAATTTAAAAAAAATATTTTTTGCACAGAAAGAGGAACGATAATCCGATTTTGCTCGAACCTTGCAAATTCTAATATTTTAATCAGTGCTAGGTCAGGTGCGAAATTGGACAATATCGGTCAACTCCTTCAAGTACCTCCCCCACAAAGAATCCAAATTTTGAATAATTACAACTCTCATAACATGTGATGTAAGAGTCCGATTGTCCTCAAATTTTACACATCCCAATATTAATATTAACTCAAAGTCTGTTGTTAAGATGGAATATATCGGTCCACTCCTTTTGGTACCTCCCTCTTACAAGGTCAAAATTTTCAAAAAAAAAAATATATTTTTTTTCTGCACAGAAAGAGAAGCGATAATTCGGTTTTGCTCCAACTTTGCAAACCCTAATATTTTCGTCTGTTCTAGGTCAGGTACAAAAATGGATAATATCGGTCCACTCCATCAAGTACCTCCCCACAAAGGGTCAAAATTTCGAATAATTATAAGTCTTATATCCCATCACAATATTTTCATAAACCCAAGATCTGGTGTTAAGATGGAATCTGGTCCACTCCTTCTGGTACCTCTCCCACAAAAGGTCGAAATTTTGAATATCCATTAAGCTTATAAAACGCGAAATTTGTAGAGATCGGCCATTCCTCCTGCTACCTCCCCCACAAAGGGTCAAAATTTTGAATAACCAAAACGTTTATAAAATCCGAAATAAGCATCAGGTTTTCTTTATGTGAAATACACATCCCATTCTTTCCACTAACCAAAAATCCGCTGTGAAGATGGGGTATATCGGTCCACTGCTTCTGGCACCTCCCCCATAGAGGCTCAAAATTCTGAATATCCATGAAGCTCATAAAAAGCGAAATTGACATCCGATTCTGTTCAAGATTTGGTACATCCCAAAATTTCCGTAACACAACACAGCCCAAACCTAGCACGTCACAATATATTATTTAGGTCTGATACGAAATGGACAATATAGGTCAATTCCTTCAGAACCAACTACATAAAGGGTTAAACATTTGAATAATCATAACAGAAGTCAAAATATTTTTAAATAATCGAACATTGGCTCTCTATCGGCAAAACCGACCGATACTTTTTAACATGTTTTTCAATATTTGCCGAATGGAATATTGCCATATGTTCAGCTCACGAGCCATTTTTCGGCGACTGCGAAGCGGGATTCGATCAAGTTGCTTCTTTTATTTTTGGAACTATTTCTGCTGATGTTGCTGTTTTCTTCCGTCCACATCCTTGAGGTCGGGCTACGCTGTAACCTGTAACACGTTAACGAGCGATGGTACGAGACACAAATGATTTATTCAAATTTAAATGCTGGAGTGCTCTAACGATAGCCTCTTGTTGTTTTCCAGCCAAATATAATGAAATCACACTATCACGCTTGAATTCCGTCACGTATAACCTTTTTTCTCGAAAATGCTCGCCTAGATGCATTTGTACGCTTGTAAACAATATAATGAGCTGTCACGGGAATAATTTTAACAGCTATCGGACGAGTGGCTTAGAAATGACAGCAGTCTGAAGTTGGTTGCAGTTTTTTCGTTTAACCCTGTATATTTAATTAATCGAACATTGGCTGAGGGTATACATCTGTAGGCAAAATCGTCGACTGATACCGGTTATTCGAAAGCTATCAGAAAGACAGCAAAATATATGTGTAATTGTCACAATAGATCTTTTTAAGATCAAAACTAATGCCACCCTTCATCAAAATAACGTAGAATTGAGAATATATGTCATATAATGTGTAACGAGTAACTGATATTGTCAAATATCGGCCCTTTCCCTTTCCACGAATGGACACAATTTTTATTAGTCATACCCCGAATGAAATGTGAAATGTGTACGGTTTTCTCCTACTGCCCACATCCAAAATTTGCAACCGAAATTAGAGGAGATATGAGATGAGATACTAATAACAAAATTTTTGACAAATCCTGAATCTTGTGTTCAGGTCCAAATATTTTTTTTTCTAATTTTTTTTAAATTAAAATAAAAAAATAAATAAATAAATATATATATTATATTCGAAGACGTACTATAACTGTTCTCCTATACCAAATGAGAATTTTTTTAAATATCATCAATTCATTAAAAATTTTTTTTGAAATTTTGAAAAATATCAAATTTTTGTATACATATATACGTATATCATCAATTCATTGAAGAAAATTTCGAAATTTTTTTTAATGAATTGATGAAATTCAGAAGTTTCAAAAAAATTTTATTTATAAAAGCCTAATTGAATATGACGCAGAGCCATGTCATTAACTGCATTTTGAATATTTAAATATTGAATTCTTTGTAGACAGAAAGAAAGTTTTCAAGTTCTGACGAAAATATATTAGATGTAGCATAACATGTGAACTAAACTTAGGTTTAACTTAAACCAGCCACGAAATTTGATTTCTGATATTAAGGAAGATCGATTCCGTTTAGGGTTATAAAGGGGGCAAATAGTAGATCTAGTCAACAGTAAAACATTTGCTATGCTACTCACAACATCATTCACACCACTGTCTTCCAGATAATAATTCAAATAACTTTTTTTAATATCCGACATCTCCTTAATCGTCTAAA